ACTGATCAAATTACAGTTAAGGATATTAAAAGATTTTGCTGTGCCTCGTAACTTTTATTTATAATACAGCTACTCATGTGCAAGCTATAAGATGCTGGTGAGTGAAGATAAAAGTCATCAGGTGAGAGTTTTATATAGGGTGAGTTTTATAACTTCGAGCAAGGACATGGCAAGGAGGGAATTCAGAGCAGTACATAAAAGCATAGGAATAGTGCTAATTCTATGTTGTACATATTAACCAGCTAAACCACTATTTATATATTCATCGATCAACCTGGCAGCCAAAATAACAGAGTGAAGGTATATACAGTAGTCACTTCTTGCCCCTCTCCTGGGTGGGCTATTTATTCTGTTACGCATAAACACACGGCTGATGAAGTTTAACATGCTGTTGAGCCCTACATGCCTGCACTGTTCTTCTGCAGCCTTGTGCTTCCCAATTGCTGTGCACCTCAGAAGTACACTCACCAGTGCCCTGGCTATATAGGCAAACAAGAAAATGAACTGCCAAGTGTTGAAAACAGGGAAAGTGTGTGTGGGGGCGGCGCGGGGGGTGGCAAAGAGAAGAGAAAAACAGCTAAGTTTCCTTTTAATATTATAAATACCTAGACCATTCAGAACTATTCTGGTGGTTTTAAGTTTAATCGAGATTTGCCAAAGACAGTCTAAATCTGAGTTGAGACACATGATCTGGAAGTATGCTATAGACAGTAACTAGACTTTACAGTAAACCCAGTGAAGCATTTTTAGATGTCTTGATGACATAACTATATCAAATGCAAGGGTTATTTATTTATTTTTGTACTTCAGTTTGGCTGCAGTGATTTATTATGAAACGGCAGTGTCTGCAGGTCATGGATTTTCACCTTGCAATATAATTGCAGTCAGTGCAAATTAATTCAGCCATTGCTCTAAACAGATCTTTGAACAACAACAACTTTCACTTATATAGCACCCTCCACGTAGGGTAGCGTCTCAGAGCACTGAACATTTGAGAGAAGCTTTTAGGGCCATCAAAAAACCACAGACACATGATGAGATTTAGAGCTAACATGAGTAAGAAGAGCTTTCAGCTTTGTCCCAGGAAACAGAGAGCTGGAGTTAGAAACCTAGGATTTCTCTCCAAATTGTTCCGTTACTGGTGATTTTCCATCACTGCCAGTAGTATCACCAGCGCAGAAGCAACAACAGCTTGCATTTATAAAGCACCCTTCACGCTGGACGGCGTCTCGGAGCACTTAAGGAAGAAACCACATTTTGCTCCCTCATCCTGGTGGTTAGTGTAACCTAGATGATTTTACCATCAAGATTTCATTCTTCTAAAATGTATCTCAATGCATCTCAGAACACAGGTGTCATAAAGACCATAACATACTGCAGAATGGACATTTCCTTGGGCACAGTCACCAGAGCTTTAAACTAGACACTAAAGGGCAGGTAGGTGGATTTTCTACTCAACCTAAAGTGAAGTCAGTGAGTCAGAACTCAATATGGCAAGGCTTGTCCTCAATCTTCATTCAACTGCACCACTGCGCGGAGATACCATTTAGAAGCCAGGTGACAGGCATTTCCACCAAAAAGGGTCTGCACTGGGAAGTCTTGATGCACATCCTGGAAGCTGGGCCAAAAGAGAGAGGCACTCCTAAAAGTTTAGAATTGCCAAGTGCCCAACTATCCTTCTCATCCCCCTATGAAGCCCAGCAAGACCAAATGAGGAGAAATGGGGAGGGTGAAGAAAATTGTCGCTGGCATTTCACTTCCCTCCTGTCCCCACCTCCTCTCCTGCTTCATGGTTTAAAACTGCAGGCGAAAGGCAAAATGGGAGCAGACATTTCAGAATTCCCCCAGGCCAACACTGAAGCTCTGAAGACACATTTTCAGTTTCAAAGCCCTGTGGAACTTCCGGAGCCTTGAGCCTTTTGTTCCAGGCCTGAAATGACAAGTGAACGTTTTTTTCTTCCCTTGCTCTCCAGAGGCTCTGTTGTCACTTACGCCTTCATTCACTGTCTATCACTGACATGCTCACGACATTCGCACTCCTAATGCGTTATCAAGCTGAAACACAAGGCCTGCAGTAATTTCTTTTTTTTAGATTGAACATAAAAGCCTGCTGAAACAAACTCATTGTAGTTCAGAGAGGCTTAAGGGTTTCAGCAAGCACCACAGTTTAGGCCACGGTATTTGCATCAAAACCATTACAAGACAAGAGCAAAGTGGTGAATGAGAATTATTAATGACAGAAACATGCTCGGCCATGTCTAATAGCTCCTAATGTGACAATTAACAAGGGTTTGAGCACCTCCACTCCCCATTCTAAAAATAGGAACCAAAAGCACTTCTGAAAATAAATTACATTAAAAGTTTAGGTCAAAATATACATTAGTTAATCTCTGGTTACCATTGTTTTTTTTTGAGGGGTATGTGATTTTTATGGATTGAACTAAGAAACTTCAGTGCTGGAAAATGACTGAGTGAGTTTTTACTGATTCATCATTAAGCAGTTCTGGGTTTCATTTGTATTTAGCTACCAGCCACCCTTGGATTCTCTCCAGTGAATTTTGCCAATTTAATATTAAAACGAGGAGTTGCAAGTTTCTAGAGCAATGTTAGCCAGGAAGCCAATGCACATATACAGTACTCCAATTACACAGAACAGACAGGCTGTGAAGATGAAAGCACTTTAATGAATGCAATATTTTTTGCAATGATCAGTTGAAAACCCTCTGCATTCTAAACAAAAGTATTAAAAATACCACAAGTGCTATTGATATCACCAATACCATTATCATAAGGTCACCACTTACAGTAAGGCATGGCTGCAATTCTTTCTTCCTAAATGGGTGTGTCTTTTAAGGTTGGTTGCTATGACAACAAGCCTAAAAATATTTTAAATGGGAATCCTAAATTAATCTGGGGGGAGGACAACTCCCAATTTAATTCTCTAATAATTGCTCAGATATTAAAGTCTCATTCAGCATTCTTCAGATGTTAATTATGAAAAGATCATCATCGCAGATTGGAGATGCTAATATCACTCCAATGAACTGAAATCACATCCCAGATTAAATTACAGAGATGCCAATTTGTACAGAGGACTCAAGGGATGGGAGGAGGAGGCGGAGGAGGGGAAGGTGATGAAAAAATAACCATCTTCGCCTTTCATTGAAGAACATCTTTGTTAAACCCATTAAAATTTTAAATGCGAACAGTGAGTGCTAACAAAGCAGAAAAACTGAACATAAAAATATCAGAACTCCCCACCCCCCCCCTCCCCCCAACCCACCACCACCTCCTCCTCCTCCCTCTTATTACACTGAAAATGCCTGGTGATTCCCAGGATCTTGCAAAACTGCTGGCATCCATTATGGAGGCACTTTCTGTCTGGCACTTTCTATTCATTTCTCTCTCTTCTTTGCTTGCAAGGTAATGCAATTTATTTTTTGACACATGGGGATATGATCCCATTTAAAGAACAAGCTTGTGGATAAGGACTCAGCTCTGATTTCTGAGCTGGATGTGGAGGAGGAGGAGGAGGAGGAGGAGGAGAGCAGTAAAGATTGAAGCCAAGTCTCAAGCCTGGATGTGCCATTGATTTTTGGGGTGAGGGGAGAACAGTGTCTCCCCCCCACCCCCACCCCCCCCCCTCTCTCTCTCTCTCTTTTCTCTCTCTCTCTCTCCATCTGCCCCCCACACACTGTTGAAATTTGCAAAGGTACACACGTCGGTATCCCAGTGGGAAAGTGGTGCATCCAAACCAACCAAAATGACACTGGTGCAGAGATAATAAATCCACAGGAGACACTGAATCTACAGGATGAGTAAATATTCCAGACACACCGATGCCTGTTTATAGCAATAAACTGGCAGAGGTTGCAGATGTGCATATATATATATATATATATATATATATCTTTTAGATACCAACACGTTTAAGATAAAGGGAACATCAGGACAAGGGGTGAGGGGAGGAAAACCACTTTGCAGACTGACTCACTCACAGGGGATTTTGCAATCTCTTCCCATTAGTTTCACATGTACATGCAGAATTCGCAAGATTAAAATGGTGCCTGTGCATTGTTTTTATATATATATATATATATACACACACACACACATACATTTACAATGCAATGAAATCAAACGATCGGTGCACGTGAAACAACTTCCCTTTCTCTGGAATTCCAGGAACAGGTCGGATTTAGGAAGGACCCACGTTCTGGGTTTATTTTGGCAATTGTTTTAACATGTTACAGTTGCAGCTCTCAAAGCAATCTCTCTCTCTCTCTTCTTCTTCTCTCTCTCTCTTGTCTCTGAATCTCTCTGTCTAGTGTCTGTGTGTGTGTGTCTGTGTGTGTGTGTGTGTGTGTGTCTCTGTGTCTCTCGTCTCTGCAAACAGTTCATCCTCCAAAACTGAGCACGAAACCACACACAGAATTCCCACACACTTGGAAAAGCGATGGGTTGGCAACATGGAATGGGTTCAACCCTGATTCAGAGTCCAACAGGGCAGGGGAGAGAAAGGGGAAAAAAGGGGGAAAGCCTCCCAGTCTCTCCCTCTCTGTCTGTCTCTCTCCTCCCCCCCCCCCAAAAAAAAAGAGCTTTGCAATTATTTGTGCATTTGTTTATTTGCTTATCTAGTGACTGAAAGCTGGAGAAACACTCCCACACACACACACATATATTAAAGACACCTCAGGTACTCATTTCAACAGGGCCATGGAAGGAATTGGGGTTAAATTGCATTGCTACCCTTTCCTTTCGGATCTTGCAGATACCAGATCGAAGCAAATCGTCCCTTTGCCCAATATTTGTTTCTCCTTTTTTTTTTCCTTTGGGGGATTTTCCATACAAATAAATAAAAAGTACAATTTGGTTATTTTTAATTTTTTTTTACAAAAAAAAAGGGGCACACGTGGAGGTGACTTAAGAAGCCAATGTCAAGAGCTTGCAGAGGGGAGGGGAGGGGAGAGGGGGTGGGGGAAGAATAAAAAAAAACTTACCAAAATTCAGCATTGCTACCAGTAACCACAGCAATCTTTCCATGTCTTCCCCAGGCTCTGCTTTTCTCTATACACTGTATATAAAGGAAACACTTTCGATCCCCTCTCTCTGTCCCTCTCCCTCTTTCTCTTTCTCGACAGCCAAGAAATAACTAATTCCCCCAAGGATTTCCAGCTCCTTCACACCACTCCCTGATTCCAGGTGGCAACGTTAATTTACCACCCCCCCCCCTCTCCAACCCCAAACCCTCTCCCCCACCCACCCACCCACCCAAAAAAAAAAAGAGAGAGACACCCAACAAACTTTTCTTCCAACTTTTGCAGAAGTTTTTTGTGGATCCACTTCGAATCTGGGCTCACTTTGAGTAAAGTAGGAGGGCAGAGAGAGAGAGAGAGAGAGAAAGAGAGAGAGAGAGAGAAGGGGGAGGGAAGGAGAGAGAGAGAGAGAGAGAGGGGGAGGGAGGAGGGAGAGAGAGGGAGGGAAGAGGAGGGGTTACCTGGACTCAGATTTCAATCCAGGATTCATAGAAAGAGCAGCAGAGAGAGAGCAGTGAAGGAGACTTTCTCCCTTTCAGTTAATTAACAACTACCTCTGTTGTGGCAGCTCAGTTTGCAACCATCTCAAAACCTTCACCTCCTTTTTTTTGTTCACTTATACTTATTGCAATGGGTTCTGGGTTCTTTTTCTCCCCTCCACCCCTTATTTTATACGTATGAGTAACAGAATCCCAACCCCAAGCTACAGTATTCACATAAAGATTTAATCTCTGATCTGCTGTGGGAGAGTTTCAAAGCTTTAAAGGGAGCAGTTTACTTGGGAGGAGGCTATCTGTTTCCATGTATTTGCCAAACAAATAATACCATACAGTGAAATAAAGTAGTCGTAACTGAGTTAAGCTTGATATAATTGTTATGGGAATGTTCTGGTTTCACTCACCCCTCTCTCTCCGTTTCTGTGTCTAGCCTCGAAGTTTCCAAATTTCCAAATTAACCAGTGGCTGTACAGTTGTTATAAATTAAGCCAGTACACTCATTTAGTTTCTAGCTTCATGTACGCCTTGGGTTCTAAAACTTCCGAAATGGTGTATACCCAAAACCAGAAAGACGAGAAAGTTACAAGTTTCAATCCAGCCAACTCGGGTTAAGTAGTTGGCCTGCTACTCTACAATGATCTTCGCTGCACTTGTGTTAGTGAGGGGCAAAATCAGCCAAGGGTTTCATTCCCAATTGCTATCCATCGTTCCCAACTGGAACCTATGTGTGTTTGTGTGTATGGTTGGGTAAGGTTGTGATCAGGCTTGTTTTTAATGTTCCTCACAGTCAAATAGCTTGCCCATCCAGGATCATGGATAAATAATGGCCATTTGTATGAAACGACCATTTGCCAGGATCCATTGAACAGAACCTCAACGGACTCACTGCCATTGGAAGAGAGTTATATAGAACGATAGGACATGGGCCATTCGGACCAAGTATCTGTGCTGATATTTATACTCCACATGAGCCCCCACCCCTCCTATACTCCTCTCTTCTCCCCCACCATTTCCCTTCTCCCTTGCTGGAATCCTGTAACTCAGTGGTTAGAGCACTTGCCTGGGTTCTATTCCCAGCAGGATGAAAAGTTGGGCAAGTTTCCTTACTCCACACACCTTTATTTGCCTAACAGTAAGTAGGAAACTGGCTGTTAGTCGATTGGTGGGTTGCTTTTCTGGGGATATTATTCCCCCCACAAAAAAAACACAATAAAAATGTTGTCATTCAATCCTCGCCTGTTTATGGGACACCGCTGTGCACAATTGGCTACCGTGTTTCGCCCACAAATATACAGTCAATTCACTTTACAGTATACTCTGTGAAGCACTTTGAGATGTCTAGAAGACGTGAAAAGCGCTCTATCAAGGATTATTATTATTATTATATGTACATCAGCTTTCCTCTTCATTTCACTGATGCTTTTTGCTTCAACCAGAGCTTCCACCCATGAGTTCCATATTCTCACCACCTTCTGCATGAAACTCTTAAACTCTATATTAGAACTATGAGCTATCTTATATTCACGTCCTCTCATTTTGGACTCACCAACAAGTAGAAACCGCCTATCAACATCCACCGTATCGAATCCTTTCATTGAGAATAAGTGGAGAGAGTCTGCTCAAGTCAACTAATCAATGTCTTTCAGCTCTGTTGTACAAAGCCCCATTAATTTCCACAGGGTTTCTAAACCTAAATGGAGCAATTGTCTCCGACATGTACACACTGTTAGTTGCAGAAGTTGCCACTTGAGATCATTCATTATACAGTTCTTTTGAAGTTTATTATGGCTCCTATAGTTTGCCCAGTGCTGCCTTTCCTCTGAATTGGGAGGAGGCAGTGCGGATGGTGGGGAGAGGGTAGGAAGTGCAGTTCCAGTTGATGCCAGGAATTTGCTGTAGGAATCACGAAAGAGACCTTATATGTATTTTGTACATTATATCATGTAATGATATTTGGCAACTTGATAACTAAGTGCAGTGGGAAGGAAACTAATATTTAACTGTGGTTGGTCATCAGTAGTGAGTGCTGTGATTACAAAAGACACAACAGGATCATGGCTTTGCTGTCAAGTGTACCTTTTTCAGTGGAATCCTCCCCCAAGCCTCTTAGTTGCGGTAAATGTATAGTAATCTCACCTAAATTTAGGAGTATGTGAGCCATGAGTCTAAATGGCAACAAACCTGTGTAGGTGCAAGGAATGCACATACGTAATTGGCCTTTGAGCTTAATCTAAACTCAGAACAAATTTTTCAGCATAATAAGCACAGTGATTTGTCCACTGAATGTAATACATCAAGTCCAATTGGTTAGCAACAATACCATGTTTAGTCAAACAGTGAACTGTTTCTCATATTCATACTGACTCAGTAATATTTACAACCACAGTACAATTTGGAAAGAGTAGCTTAATATTTAAAGCCTTTCGGCTGTGTTGAGTAGCTACAGTCACAGTAAATACTGTTGCCAGTAGCAACAACTACTTGTGATAGATAACACAAGCTGCTCAAAATTCTCTACTATTAATGCACAACTGTTGGATTAATATATGACACTTTCTAACAGGATTTCTTAAATCTGAAACCAAGTGAGGACTTTGCCCAGGACTTGGATTAAAGTCACACAGATTTGAGAGGCTTTTGTAACAGTCCTTCAGATAAAATTGATCATTCACTTCAAGGCTGTTTGTGGCACATTGCTGTGCCCAAATCAGCCCTAGGGCTCGCCTAGTGACTATTACATTTTACAGTTAATCCTGTGAAGCACGTTGAGACATTTCAGCAAATTGATTAAGGTTCTACCTGTATATGAAATCATAGAATCGTAGAACTATACAGCACAGAAGGAGGCCATTTGCCCCATCGTGTCTGTGCCGGCTGTTTGAAAAGTGCTATCCAAATCAATCTCATTCCTCCGCGCTCTCCCCATAGCCCCGCAAACTTGTCCTCCCAAATAATTATCTACTTCTCTCTTAAAAGTTGTTATCGAATCAGCTTTCACCACACTTTCAGGCAATGGATTCCAGATTCCAGATCCAACCAACTAGCTATGTGAAAAAATTTCTCCTCACCTCCGCTCTGTTTTAACAACTATTTTAAATCCATGCCCTCGGGTTACCGACCCAGCTGCCAGTGGAAATAGTTTCTCCTTGTTCACCCATCGAATCCCCTCATAATTTTGAAAACTTCTATTAAGTTTCCTCTTAACCTTCTCTGCTCCAAGGATCCAAGCTTCTCTAGCCTCTCCTGATAACTGACGTTCCTCATTCCTAGTACCATCCTGGTAAATCTCCTTTGCACCCTCTCTAATGCATGGACATCCTTCCTAAAATGTGGTGCCCAGAAATGAACACAGTTCTCTAGCTGAGGCCTAACCAGTGTTTTATAAAGGTTCATCACAACTTCCTGACTTTTGTATTCTATGCCCCTATTCATAAAGCCTAGTATCCCGGATGCATTTTTAACAGCTTTATCTACCCGTCCTGCCACCTTCAAAGATTTACTTATATGAACCCTTCAGATCGCTCTGTTCCTTCACTGCCTTTACGATTCTACCATCATCTTATATTGCCTCTCCTCATTCTTCCTCCCAAAATGCATCAGTTCACATTTCTCCACATTAAACTTCATCTGCCACATGTCTGCCCACTTTATCAATCTGTCCATATCCCCTTACAATCTGCTACTATCCTCCTCGCTGTTTACTACTTTTCCTAGCTTAGTATCATCTGTATTCTCTATACCCAATTCCAGGTCATTTATATAGATAAAAAAAAAGCAGTGATCCCAATACTGATTCCTGGGGGACACCACTGAATACTTCCCTCCAGTCAGAAAAGCAACCGTTCATCACCATTCTCTGCTTCCGGTCTCCTAGCCAGTTCTGTACCCATGCTGCCACTGTTGGCTGTCCTTTATTAACCCATATTTTTCTAGTGAAAGTTTATTTTGTCCCGAATCATAGTCTCTAGAAGTTTCCCTACTACTGACGTTAGGCTGACTGGCTTGTAGTTCCCAGTTTTATCCTTCTGTCCCTTCTTGTACATGGCAACCCTCCAGTCCTCTGGCACCTGTATGGCATTCAGTATGTCAGCCATCTCTGCCTCCACAAGAAGATTTCCTCTTTGGTTGCTAAATGGACCTGCCCTACCTTTGACTAACCTTTTATTCTTTATATGCTTATAAAATTCCTTAGGGTTTCCTTTTATGTTACCTGCTAATCTTTTCTCATACAATCTCTTTGACCCTCTTATTTCCTTTTTCAGTTCTCCTCTGTACTTTCTATATTTGATTTGATTATCTTCTGTATTTTGGACATGGCATTTATCACAAGCTACCTTTTTCTGTTTTATTTTAATCGTAATTTCCTTAATAATAAAAATCCTTGCATTTGATATAGCGCTTATCACATCTTCGAGACGTCTCAAAGCGCTTCACAGAATATGCTGTAAAGTGAATTGACCGTATATTTGTGGGCGAAATGTGGCAGCCAATTGCGCACAGCAATGTCCCACAAACAGTCGTGGATTGAAACTGACCAATTTATTATTGTTTTGTTTTTGGGAGGGATTATTATTAGGCGTGTGGAGTAAGGAAACTTGCCCAAGGTTTCGCCCTGCCTGGAATTGAACCTAGGTATCTCGCTTGCAAGGCGAGTGCTCTAACCACTGAGCTACAGGACTTGTCATCCAGGAAGGTTTGGATGCACTACCTTTATTGTATT